TGAGTCATTCATTGTGTGTTGAATTTGTCAGATGTGCCCGGAATAAACACGACTTCTGATTGATCGTAAATGAAAAAGCTCTAGCACAATTGACTCTGGCTAAGAGATAGAAAAAAATTATCTCTAATGTTGAAATGAACTTTCGTATGGAAGATAAACCTAATCAATTGAAATGAAACATCCATAATTGAAAATTAGTTTAATTTAGGCGCAGATTTAAGAACCCTTAAATATTAAGCATCATTAAAGAAAGCTGTATTGAGAAATGAATCAAAAAAATTTAATGGAAGCTATGGATTCTTTGTGATCAAACCTTCACATACTTACATCGATAATTATAAAGGAAACATATGGTAGATCATCTAACTACGATGTGAAATGAATTTTTCTCATAACCACCCACTTGTAAGTGATTAATATAGACTCTAAATGATAATTAGTCTTTCCTTTAAGAAATAAATCGATCCACTTCTCTCCCCCTTTTATGTAGTTTACATACTGGAAGATCTATGGGGAAGTTCTGGGTATTAATATCAAACCTAAATTTATTTATTTAAGAATGGTCTAGATGGATACATTTAGTTGAAAAGGAAGTTGAATCTGCAAAATCTATAAAATTACTAAATGCTGAGTACGATGCCTTCCAAGTTATTAATGAACTTCTCCTACTTGCTGCTTCTTTTTTTGTGTATCGTGGGTTAATTAAATGATTATGCTTTACAGTATCTGTTTGGCAAAACTCATTAGTCCTTTAAGGTCTTAGGGAGGATATTTTACTGAAATATGAAACAATAGAGGTTCATTAAAATATAAAAGATTCAAATAGCAGATAATTCAACTGAATAGTGAAATAAACATTGATTTTTTAGCTTAAATATTGAATTTGTATTTATCATTTAATATAATTATTTTAACATACATTATTTTAATGTTTTCTAAACACTTAAATCCTAATTTGGGTATTTTCTCTAACTCTTGTTTCCATATCTAGAATATTTAAATTATTTTTCTTCTTTTAATATATCTTTTCTTTTGATTTGGCTTCTACTTCACATTTCTCATTTGATGACTACTCTTAATAATGGATTATCAGTTTGTGGAATTATTGTTGACTTCTAACTGAGTCTAAATAGAAAATGATAATCTCTTGCTCATCTCATCTTTTTCTGTGAGTTGTTTGAAATATTCCTAAGTTAATTCCTTATTTACTCATGAGGTTTTGTTATTGATTAAGACTTCTCTCTTATTGCTATGCTTTTCCTTTTTCCCCTATTATTTTCTATATACTTAGACCACTCTGAGTTATTACTTAAATCTCTTCTCTATCTTCTTCTTAGTAGTATTGTTCTAATATTTCTCTTTAGCTCCTATATAGTCATATATGATAAAGGGTGTTCATGTCATCTATCAGAAAGTGGCTTGTCCTATTAGTCATCTAGTTATTGACCATGATTGATTTATTGTCTGAAAAACAATTTCATCAATGTATTATCGAGGCAATATGTTAATATCTTCATGTACTCATGTAGAGGAATTGTTCGAAGATCCCCAATGAATAATATTTTAAGTTGAGATAATTCATGTTCCCTTCTTCCAAAAGCGTCATAATCAGATTCTGTATGGCACAAGTGTCTTCTTATTTCTTCTTATGGGCCGATGTTTAATGTATAGAACACAATTGGTGGTCAACTATGTGTTTGCCTGAAAGTTTCTTTTCTGGTCAATTGGAATTCCATAAAAAATTAGTAATTCTCTATTTCTATGTTAATTTATAATGAAACTCTTTAATATCCATAGTTTATCTAATCAGCTCTGATAATTGAGGAGTTGCGTAATGAAGATGTGGAGCTTTTTGAGAAAGAATCTTTAAGTTGGAAACACTCACTTATAATGAATTATTGTAATTATTCAATTTTCTACAAAACTAATAAATTATATTAGACAGAAAGGATAATTAAGGAGATGATCGAGGTGAGAAAAGTGATTTCATAAAGGCACCAAGGCTTTTCTAATTTGATTAAGGAGAAAACTTGTATAACAAATTTTTTAAATAATCTTTCTAATAGTAAATATTTCTAAGAGTACTTTAATAGAATAAAAACATAGAGATTAATTTCATTAGAAATACTAGATTCATTTATACTTGTAACAAGATTTGAAAGATCCTTGCACCATGACACACTGGGAACCGCGGCTCATATATAGACATGCAAAATAGGTAATTCTGTATATAGATAATTGTTGATTTATTTTAAATTGCATTAAAATTTTCAGCTATGAACTTGATCTTTTATGGAGAGGATGATATATGAAAAGGATGAAGTTAATTTTTTACTGACAAGCTTTAACTAATAGAGTGTTAATTTAAAGATCCTTCTCAGTGCTTGATTTATATTTTGGATAGATTAAAAAGAAAAATAAAAGGAGACAAGCTAATGATCTAAAAACTTAATTTACTTACA